TGTGTGTGTGAGGGGGGTGTGTGTGTTGGGGTGTGTGAGTGGTGTGAGTGGGGTGTGTATGTTTGTGTGTGTGAGGGGGTGTGTGTTGGGGTGTGTGTGTGTTTGGGCATGTGAGTTGGGGGTGTGTGAGTGGGGTGAGTGGGATGTGTGTTCATGCTGGGGTGTGTATGAGTGGGGTGAGTGGGATATGTGTGTGCTGGGGTATGTGAGTTGGGTGTGTGGGTGGGGTGTGTGTGTGTTGGGAGTGTGTGAGGTGAGTGGGATTGTGTGTTGGGGTGTGTGAGTGGGCTGTGTGTGTCTTGTGGGGTGTGTGCATGTTGGGATATGTGTGGTGGGGTGTGTGGGGTGTGTGTGTGATGGGGATGTGTGTGTTGGGAGTGTGTGAGCGAGGTGAGTGGTATGTGTGCGTGTTGGGGTGTGTGTGAGTGGGGTGTGTGTGTGTTGGGGGTGTGTGAGTGGGGTGTGTGAGTGGGGTGTGTGTGTTGGGGTGTGTGTGTGTTGGGGTATGTGTGTTGGGGTATGTGAGTTGGGGGTGTGTGAGTGGAGGGTGTGTGTGTTGGGGATGTGTGTGTTGGGAGTGTGAGCGAGGTGAGTGGCATGTGTGTGCATGTTGGGGTGTGTGTAAGTGGGGTGAGTGGGATATGTATGTGTTGGGGTGTGTGTGTTGGGGTGTGTGTTGGGGTGTGTGAGTGGGGTGAGTGGGATATGTGTGTCGGGGTGTGAGTGGGGTGTGTGTGTGTGTTGGGGTGTGTGTGAGTGGGGTGAGTGGGGTATGTGTGTTGGGGTGTGTGTGAGTGGGGTGTGTGTGTGTTGGGGGGGTGTGTGTTGGGGTGTGTGTGAGTGCGGTGTGTGTGTGCTTGTGTCATTCCCTTGGAGAGTAATCCCTTCCAGAGTGGCCAAGGCCACCCCCAAGCCTGGACCACATGGGATGCAGAAAATTTGGGTAACTCCTTTTTTATACCTAATTTGGAACTCCGTCAGAGTGGAGAAGTGGCAATGTGGACGGTGTTCCTTGAAAACACTGAAGACAAATGAATAAATCGTTTGCCATCTGGGGCAAACAATAAACCCGTCTAAAGACAGGAAAAGCTAAGAATTGAGTTACTTGGGGGAATAAAATTTTGAAAAGTTCCTATGAATAATGAGGAATCTAGAAAGCCACACAAATGCTCAAGCAGGACACCTGCTCAAAAAAGACCTGAGAAGACCTCAGGGCAGGCCAGAAGGAAGGCTAAGTGTGGGAGGGGTGCCCCAACTCAGGGCCAGTCTACAAAGACTGAGAGAGTTTTTT